CGCCACTGTCGCTGTCGGAGCTGGGCGCGCTGTGCAGGGACAGGCCACCGGGCGAGTGCAGGTGGCGGCTCTGACTCTTGAGCAGTTTTTTCTCGTGCTTGCGTTTCTTCTTCTCCATCTTCTCCAGTTCCTTTCGAGCGATCTCCTCCGGGTCCATCGGCTCCCCGCTGCACGTGGTCGGGTGCGAGTTGTGCGCCGGCCGGCCCGGGCCCTTCTTGGTGTTCTCCTTCTTCCTCCACTTGGCCCGGCGGTTTTGGAACCAGACCTAGAACAGCCGGATAAGGGGGAGGAGGGAGGCACAATCAGGCTGGCTAGCGGCCGCGGGGGCTGTAGGCCTCCCACGCACGCCCCCTGGCAGGCCTGAGAGACCTCGGCTCCAGCATGAACAACCAGAGCCAGGGCACGCTCTCTGCCGGCCCTTGTATGCTGATACTCGGGTTGCAGCTTCCGGCCAGCTTCTTATCTACCCGAAAGGGGCGTAGATAGGACCTCTTGGCCTGATTCCCGCTCTGACTTCTCACCTCGGGCCCCAGGGAGCTGCCCCTTCCTCAGGCAAGGCCGGAGTGGCCCGTGACCCCGCGCTGACGCGCTGTCGCGAGTTCCTGGTCGGGAGGCAGCGAGCAAGGCCCCGATTTGCCCTCGCTGGCATCTCACAGTTCTAAGGGGCCTGGCCTGGTGATGAGCAGGAACGGCTGTGCCTTCCACACCTGTCTTCGGCCCCCACGAGACTCTCAAAGCCCACACTTCAGGGTGCCCCATGAAGGGAAATCTGGATACTTCTTCCTCAGGAAGGGCCTGTGAAGCCGAACTTGGATGGACCTTCAGTAACCCACCACCCCCAGCACAGCTACACACATCCTTCTTTATGAAGGGCTGTAGGCCAGGGACCAACAAGACCCTTTCCAAAGTAGCCCAACTTGGCCTGGCCTGGGGTGCTACAAGGCAAGGCGGGCAAGTAGGCCAGAGATTGGCCACGAGGCCTCCTGGGAGAGCAGAAAAGCTCTGGACTCCTTCATGCTCTCTGCCAGGCCTTGTCTGGGACAGCCAGGGAGGACTTAAAGAGTACAACAGTTCCTCAAACTAGAACCGCCAGGGCTACCATCCCCCTGCAGAAACTGGCTATTTAAATGCTTTGTTGTGGCCATATAAAGTTGGCACGATTGCACACCAAACCGGTTCGAAGGGAGCCTGGCGGGCGCGGAAGTCCCGGGACTATCCCAAATCCCGAGATGCTATAACTGCTTTCTCTTTTCTTTTTCAAAACTTTTGTGAGTGTGTGTGTGTGTGTGTGTGTGTGTGTGTGTGTGTGTGCAAATTCCAGGCTGTCTCACCACCAGAAATTATTATCATGTTAGAGGGGAAATGAAGATATTCGGACTTCACTTAAGTCACAGAACGAACTGGATAAATGAATTTCTAAACAGAAAAGGCCAGGCCGCAGCCCAGAACCCAAATATCATTTCAGGCAAACTATAGGTGTTAAACGGGTATTTTGGCAGTGTATGCCTCCACCCCAGGCACCCACCATGACACAGGCCCCAAAGCTTCTGTACTCTAGAAAAAGCATCTAATTATACAGACATTATTCTAGAATTTTATTACACCAAATTGACTCTATATTAAAAAAAAAAGAAAGAAGAAGAATGCTGCCTCCTGGCTCCGCATGAAATCAAATAACGAAGAGCGTTGGGAACGGAGGAATTTAATGGGAGAAGAGTATTAAATTCAGACACCTTTTTTAAAGAAACCTCCCCTCTTTTCCAGTGTGTTAACCGCATAAGTTTCCACTTTCCCTCCCTCGAATGTTTCCCCCTATGCCTGCAAGGCCATGGATGGATGTTTCTGTCGTAATAATTCACAGGCCAGAGGTAAACAAACAGATCAGTCTGCTTCGGGGCTGGGAGAAAGCCTCGGCTGAGAACACCCAGGCCCCGGCCCATTCTGTCCCCTACTGGAGTGCTCTTTCGAGCCTCGGGCAGCCTTGCCCCTCTCCAGGCATTGTTCCTGGCCGCAGCCAACCCAAACCTGGCTTCCCGGATCGCACGCAGCCACTGCAGTGGCTACTGGGGCACCGCCAGGAGCTCTCCCAAATCACCCTGGCATTCTCGAGTTACTCACCTCCATATGGGCGAAGGGGTTCAACTCTCACAATCAACCCTCCGCCAGCAGCGCGGAGCCTGGAACCACCTCCCACCACTTAGAACAAAGGCAGCCCTGCCTCCAGGCTCTCTGCACGCCCAGTGCCGGACAGCTGAGTCCCCCGGGCAACACCGGGTCTTTACCTGAACTCGGGACTCGACCAGGTCCAGGCGCAGCGCCAGCGCCTCGCGCATGAACACGTCCGGGTAGTGGCTCTCGTTG